GTGTGTGTGTGTGTGTGTCAGCACGGGGTCAGTGACTCCATGTTTCTGGAGCGTCATGAGGAAGACGTGTTATTCAGACATTATGAGAAGAGGCTGCTGGATTTCTGCAACATGTTCAAACCTGTCATGCCCAAGTCTGTGGTGGTGAGTAACATGGTGCTTTCTTCTTCATCTTCATCAGAACAATGTGACCTCACAGGACATGTAGTAAACGTGTGTGTGTGTGTGTGTGTGTGTGTGTGTGTGTGCGTGTGTGTGTGTGTGTGTGTGTCCTGTGCAGGGTACAGCCGTCATGTACTTCAGAAGATTCTACCTGAACAACTCCATCATGGAGTACCACCCTCGGATTATCATGTGAGTAGTGCTGATCATGACAGTAGCAGAAGTGTTTGGAGAAACAAAAGTGCACTGAAAGATAAGTCTGAGTTTAGTGTGTAAACATGATGCAGCACTTCCAAATTTTTGATCTGCTAATGAGTATTGGAAAAATGAGTGTTCATTTTCCTGACAGATAAAAAACACGCTGATACGAGCATCAGCATTTATGTTTTTCTTTTATATTACTGAATAAACAAAGTTGAAAAATGTGCATTCAAGTTTTAGGCTAAAAAAAGTTTATTTTCTTAATTCAAGTTCTAAATATTTGGTTGTGTTTTCATTAAAATTAAAGTTATTTGGATTAACATTTATGAGTAAACTAAAATATCAAGCCTCAATAACATTTATTTGTCATAATGGTTTGATATCGATCTGCTTCCACTTATTGACATTTTCTTTAAATATCTACACAGGCCGATTTTTTGATACTCCCTAACATCAGAATCTCCACCGGGCCTCAGAAATCCTTATCAGTCGGGCTCTGCTTGTTATTTTACCCCGTGTACTTTTAACCCAAGAACATGAAGTGATACTATCTAGTCTGTTTAACAGTTTAATATGAAGCTGGCTAATTTATTTTATATTTCCCCATTAATCCAGACTGATCTCACTGTTGAATGGAGAATTAGACTTTTCCTCTTTGAATTTATAATATTAATCTATTGTTCAAGCTTGTTCTTACCAGTGTAAATACTGTACAACCTATAACAAAGTCACCTTCTCATTTCAGGCTGACGTGTGCATACCTCTCCTGTAAGGTGGATGAGTTCAACGTGTCCAGCACCCAGTTTGTGGGGAACCTTGTGCAGGAGAGCCCAGCAGGACAGGAAAGAGTCCTGGAGCAAATCCTGGAATACGAGCTCCTGCTAATCCAACAGCTCAACTTCCACCTGGTGGTCCACAACCCCTACAGACCCATGGAGGGTCTGCTCATCGACATCAAGGTGGGGGGGGGGGGGGCCTTGAGAGCTTTAGATGTCACTTTTGAACACACAAACACCTTTGATAGCTCAGGTCGTGGTTCAGATTATTTGTCATATCTCATGGTAATTATTTCCCCCACATTAAATCCATCCCTCAGACTAGATACCCCACTCTGGAGAATCCAGAGTCACTGAGGAAGAGTGCAGACGACTTTCTGACACAGGCCACCATGACAGATGCAGGGCTGCTGTTTCCCCCGTCTCAAATCGCTCTGACAGCTATTCTGAACAGCGCTTCGAGAGCCAGTCTCAGCATGGAGAGGTGGGTCATTTGTGCTCATGTTAAAGTTTATTAGAATTTTTGTGTTTCCTCCCCTTGGATAAAAATCAGCAATTGAAAAAAATAACTGCAAATAGCCACATGCAGATAATGTTACTTAGATTGGTTTCAGGTATATGTGATATTTGTGGTGTGTAATATGTGAGGAAATATATCCCTGAAGTTATTTTGTTGTCTGTATGTAACACCAGAGTGTCAGTGATTTTAAGAGTTAATGTGTGATTCCTCATTTTCAGCTACCTGACTGAATGCCTGGGACTGAAAGGGGACAAAGAGTCTCTGTCAAAGATGTACGAGTCAATGAGACGTGAGTAAACTGCACCTTCAACCTGACACCACAGGATGGCGATATTGAGCTACTATTATTTTACTGCCTCACAATTAAATAAATAATAACTACAATTACTTATTTCAAAATAATATTTTTCAAAAATGACATTTATTTATATCATGAGACTTTTATTTCCATTCTCATATGCAAATGCAAGGACGTGGTTATCTTCAGACCAAAGCAATGGCACCAGATGATAGGCAGATACCCTGTGGATTCATATATATTTATATTCTGCTATATTTATTGTCATATATTTTTATTTCAGGGTTTATTCCATAGCCATATTTATTTATCTATTTATTTAATTTTGACGTAAACAGCATTCCATACACACCACAGGTCTGAAGTGAGATTTCAAATCTTTTTTTTTTCTCTCTCTGCCGCTCCAGGGATGAAAACCCTCCTGAAGAAGTATGAACTTCCTAAAATGGAGGAGGTGAATGTTTACAAACAGAAGCTGGAGAGGATTCACGCTGAATTTGGTATTTCAAGCAAGTAAGGAGAAGTGACCAGCATCATCTTCTATCTACCTCTTTATAGTGGCGTCATTTCAGCAGCATTAGAAGTTTCAGAGTGATATTATCATTATATGAATTTCTTTACTCCCACAACAAAAGGATCGACTCCACTTTTCTGTCGTATGTAGTAACAGTTTTATTTTAGCCAGGTCGTCGTATCTAAGATGCAAAAGGTTCAAGGTTCAGTATCAGGTAGAAAAATAAAAAGGAACACGTCATCATCAGCCGTATGAAAGACAGAAAGGAAGAACAACAGCACACCACATTCCTGCCTACATCATCCATACCTTGAAGCACAGCTGATAATTGGTATTGCTGATGGAGACTTTTAGGCCTGTTGGTTAATCGCGCGTCTGTCGCCAGTTGTCCGTTTACACTTGGTGAGGTCGGTGAGGTCCGTGGTATCTTTAAGTGCAGCTACAGTAAACAGTCTGGTAAACTCTTGAGCTATGACAGGCACAGATTCAGACTTTGCAGCTGTTTGAGTCGTCAGGAGGCACGCGAGGTCCCTTCACGGGCCAGACGCTGATTTATCTGTGCGTGGCACGACTTCTCTGGGTGGATATGAAAACAGACGGTGCTGTGGTGAAACCCACATGTGATGGCGGGAGAGAGACTGCAAATGCATGAAAGCTTAGAGGGAGTTCAGGTGATGTTTGTCACAGCAGCATATACAGTATGTAGGCCCACACACTATAGAAGGATCCATCAAGGTTAACACATGCACAGGAAAGGTTACACGTTATCTCCTAAGACTTTTAGACTATGTCTCGTTTCTCTTCAGCTATAATCATAGAAAAACACCTTTTTATTTCTATACACGTCTAAGTATATATCAACAAACAAAGCACTTTATAAAAATGTAACAAGTGGTTCCAGTGCTGCGTTCATACACAAAGGTGGTGGAAATGGTCGGGAGGAAGAGCTCTTCGCAAACTCTGGGTGATGTAGGATGGGGTGGCGTGAAGAGAGGAAGTTAAGGCTCGTGTCGTCTTGGAGAGAGGTGCTATGTTTAAAATTCCCTGATGACGGCAGAAAAACGCTACTTCAATGCTTTGGATTTCCTCCCCCTCTTTAATGTGTCCGAGTTTAGTCCAAGGAACGCAGCGGCTGACTTGAGTCTTGGAGTCTTCCTGCTCCACGTCAGCCGCCAACCGCTACTCGTCAAACTTCTGAGGGAGGAGTGGCAGGCATACCAGGATTAAAAATAAAAAAAATAAAAAGTTCAGACATCTCTGCAGTTCACTGTAACTCAGGTCCATCTTCATGCTCGTGTGTGACGAGGCGTCAAACTTCAACAAACACTGTCGGTGTCTGAAGCATTTTGGGAAGGGCTTTGGAAGGACAGTATTCAGATATGCAGCAAGTAGATTTCTCGTGGAGAACGGCCATATTGCGTCAGAACTGCCAGGAAATCTAGGCCACATGCTTATAAATACAAACTGACTTTAATCTTCGGTTGGGGACCTCACTTTGGCTGGCTGTGTGGTCTGACTGCCACAATCTGACTCTCAGGAGGAAATCCGTTAAACTCACATTACCTGGATGGCAGCAGCCAGTGACATGATGGTGCACTCTGTCCTGTAAAATAAAGTGGAGGCGTTTGTAAAAGGCACATCTGATCAAATCACTGAATTCTGGTGTATATTAGAATACTGATCTGTCAATATGAAACTAACCCTACGTGATTAACTAGTCTACATGAAATGAAAAAAAAATAGTCACAGGAAACTACAACTACTGATGATTATCATGAAGGTGTAGTGGACACTAGATACCACTCTACAACTAAATGAGTGTTGGTAATGGACTTCAGGGGTTGGTCACAAACACTGAAAATATGGAACACAGTTCACCAACAATTACAGCTTGCAAAGACAACTTCACAGATTTCTCTAATATTCAGATTCTCAGTACAAATATATTTGTGTTGCAGCAAACGAAAGAGAGGATATGAAGAAGACGGCCACGTAGCAAAAGAACCACGTTTGGCAGAAGAGGTAAGAACATTTGCTCAACAACAACATTTGCTCCAGTGTTTAAGGACTTCTTGTTAAATTCTCCCTGAATGAGCTAAACCTTTGTTTCGTTCCAGGAGTGGACAGATGAAGACCTGATATGAGCTCCATGCGGCTGTAGAATTTCTACTTACTTCCAGTATTGAGCTGCCAGTGACCAAAACACAATGATGTCTCAAACAGTTTGCAAGTGTTCATGTCATTTACTTTCCCACATGACACCGCAGTAAATCATTTGTTCTACGTAAAGAATAAAGATATTTTTCTACAAATTGTGTTTCTGTGGATTTAAGTCAGAATGGTGAACTAACTAACAGAATGTATCACATTATACTACTTGCATGTTTCTCCACCTTCGTCAGGGGACAATGAAGGAGTCTGTAATCTACTTTACAAAAACGTTTAATAAGTGCATGCATGTCTGATACAGTCTGTACTATTCAATTTTTTTTTACTGTTGTAAACACTTTCATTTTACTTGGTTTCTCTGATTATGTGTCTTGTCTGGCATTCAGAAGCTTAAAAAAAGGCTTAACCAAATAATCCAAAAAAAATCAAACAGGGAATACAATCGGAAGGAGAAAAAAAAAATTCAGCTCATCTCTCTTATATACTCATGATTCCAGCAAGAGAATTTATTCTTAATATAAAATAACCATAGTTTTCTGAAAGACTTTGTTCCAATCTAGAAACCAATGAAAGAAAAAAAAGAAAACAAATAGACAGAAATGCAAGTTTCAGCACTTTGCGCATGTTGTCACATCCTTAAAATAAATCAGTCACTAATTACAGTATAAAAAGCATTAACGCTCATAATCCAGTTACCAGAAAAAAGGAAGGGGGGGGGTGAAAGGACTAGCTTCTTCATGTCAGTTTTCGCATATTGAGCCAGGTGAGGGGGTCAGGGGTAAACTTTGGCAACCTGTGCTATCAAAACACAGCGGGTACACAGACACCTTGAAATTGTGATATTTGGCCCTTGTGGCGAAGGGAATGAAATGTACCCAAGTCAGAATCATAGACAGAGTCTCTGAAGGAAAAGTAGCTCCTGTGCATACAGCTGTCAGTCACTGGCGCAAGTGATTTGTTTCTTTTTGTTTTAGGTACTGCATCAGTTGTACTCAGGCGCTGTTGTTGCATAGCTCTCTTTGTGGTGAACGGGACAAGATGGCAGGTGGGTGGAGATGGGCGGGACTATCGGGAGGAGGACATGATGGAGGGTGGTGGTGAAGGAGGGGTTGCCATGGTGATGAGGGTAGAGCATGCTCGGTCTCCTCTGTGCTGCACTCCGGTGGAGGAGACTTGACGGGAGGATGGGAGGATGAGAGGAGAGGAGGAGAGCAGTACTACCTGTTGCTGTTGGACATGGCATACTGAGTCTGCTTCTGCTGGAGGAGCTCTGTGATGGCCAGCAGCTTTTTCAACACATGCTGCAGAGAGGAGACAGGAGTTAGATCATTCTGTTGTGACACGATGTAACAGATGTTCAGATGTGACGGCACGGCTCTCTGACCTGCTGCGCTCCCCTCTCGTTGCTCAGCGTCCGCAGCTCGTCTGAGTGAGTGGCACAGACCTCATGCAGCGCAGCCAGGTCCCGGGACAGGTCTGTCCTAAAGTGCTCTGTGGCTTCAGGGAGGTCAGGGACATTCTGGTGACACACAAACAAGACTCTTATAAGCTTGTGAAACAGAGGTAGCCATCAGGGTCTCTGCATTAGAGCTGCAACTAGCAGTCATCATTATCTATCAACCCATTTAGACCAGATGCTACCTATGAAAGTGTAATCCTTTCATGACCTGGAGGCGAATACAACAAACAAATCACTTGACCCAGTCTGAAATAAAATATATTGAATCTACTCTAATGACATAGGAAAATGTAAAATCCACTTTTAAGAAGACAAAACCATAGTGCTTGGCATATTTCTAGCAAATTTGCTAATTTGTTTTCTGTCAATTAATCAACAAATGTTTTCAGCTCTAGAAACAATTTGATCAAAAGGCAAGAAGTGTGACTCACCCCTAACTCATCCAGAAACATTATCATCCTATGTTTGTTGTTTTTGATGAAAGGGTTCACACCCTCCATGTAGGGCTCCTGTTCGAGAATAGAAAAGACAGCTGTGTGTTGCTGGCAGACATTTTCAACACTTACACTGAATACTACAGATTCCTGGAGGGAAATTCAAACCTTAGCACCAAATTCAACCAGGTTGGCGAGGTTTTGGACAGACTTGGCCACCAGGGTGAGGGTCCTGCCTGCTGTTGATGATGGAGGGTCTACAAGAAGAGATCACACAGTGTAACACACCACATGGTGAACAGTAAGGTTTTTGTGTGTTTGCTTTTCAGTGGAAGCTCACCAGCAATGATATTGAACATTCTGGGGTTGAGGATGGCAGGACAGATCAGTCTTAGAAAGACAAAGCCACTGGAGGAACAGATAAGGTCAAGTTAGACAACATTAGAAAAGAAAAACAATGTGTCACATGATAAAATTAAAGGACCTAAATGCAGAACAAAGATAAGATGACTGTTTTTAAACTATAAACAAAACTTGTTAGATTACCTTACAACTCTCGTCCGCATGGTGGTGTTGGTGGGCCATTTCTGCTGCACAGACTTCTGCAGACAGCCGTAGATGAACCTCAGTGTCCTGGACAGGTAATCAAAAAAAGACAGTGATGGGGTGATTGTGTCTTTTGGACTGTTAGGTCTGTATTTCTGTTTTAGGAACTAAATCAAATTATTTACTGACTAAACTAGACAACAAAGCTGTTTGGGCGGGTGTGTATGCTTACGGTGGAAGGATCTCAGCGGCCATGAAGATCTTCTCCACCAGCTCAGACAGGATGTTGAGGAGATGAGCCAGATTCAGGTTCACATCCTCATTCTTTTCCAGTTTGGAAGGGTTCAACTTAAAGCAAGGATGGATGAAGGGAGACAGAGAAGAGGAAGGAAGACAAACAAATGAAGATGGATTAATTCACATTTACAAGGTTGTTGTGAACCATGAGATTAACATTACATTACATACCATTCTTAATTTATTATCCTGCAGTAGAAGCAACCAAGACAAAGATATTTTTAAGTAAAATAGAAAAAGGCAAGTAAAGAAAAGATACACTATGACACTATTACATATCAGTGGGTATATAAACTCAATAAAAATCATCGGTTATTAAATATTCATTGCAGCCTTGTGCAGCTGCTGCACTGATAATGATATAAATGCCATGTTCTTAACTTTGTACCACAGATAAGTGCCAGATAGACATATTTTACAGAGGGGAAACCTTTGTAGGTCTTTACCTCACAGGACTGTTTGCTCTCCATGATCTTGAGGATAGTGTCTTTGAGAGCATGATGGACGAAGGGCGTGGCTGTGGCCTTCATGTACTGCTCCATGAGAGTGCTGGCCAGTGTGGTCGCTCTGAACAAGGTCGTGGCCTCATCTGGGAACAAGGTGAAGTAAATGTCTGAGCACATCGTTCTTTATATTTCTGATTTGACAACAAAACAATTAACTGAGCTCTGAAAAAACCCTGCAGACCTACACAGAAGGATCGTAAGTTATTCCTCTTCATATCATACAAGTCCTCTCTCTAATGTGTGTTTGTTTCTTACCCTCCATGTTAATCTCTCTGTCGTTGAGTGTCCTGAGTAGTGGGGCTTCATCATTCTCATGTCTGAAGATCCGCAGGAGGAGGCTTGCAAGTAAGGTGCGGTCCTGACCACACACATGGGCCAGAGCATAGATGACATGGAACTCTTTATGCATCATCATCTGCAAAGGACAAACAATGATTACATCATTGTCATCAACAGAGAAGACAGTTGATGGACGTTGTACTCTAAAAAAAACGTCTCAAGGATCAGACCTCTTTAAACTCGCTGTACTCCTCTTCAGGCATGATCTTCTCCATGGAGTAGCGGGCACGTACACGTAAGGAGCCCGGCTCTATGCCCTTCAGAGGCACGTGGGAGCTGAGAGGGAACCACTCATCAATCATCTGGCCCTTCTGCAGCCGGCTCAGCTGGCAGCGCATGAACACTGAGAGGGAGAGAAAAGGTTTGGAGAAATGAGAGTTTTGAAATGAAGGAAGATGAGGTGAAAGCACTGGCTTAAAGATATAATGTATGTTTCAAATGTGTTTTATGTAAGTTTTCTCTGCCTCTGAGCACAGTTTCTTGTTGGGTGTGGGTGTTTGTATGTAACATTTGCCAAGAACTTCAGCCATAGCTGTGTTTACAAGACAAGAGGTTATAATATGGCCCCTGAGCAGCTCCACTCCTTCAGGAAAGATACCGAACTTTGTTTTGCAAAGAAAACTATTAATGCTAATGTTGGCTATGGAGTAATAGCAAAAACTTACTTAAAGCACTTTAAAAGTTAACAGCAGTACTTACAGATGTCACTTTCTTTGCTCTTTTTTGTCTTGTTGCTCAGGCTGATTTCAAATCTGTTGATTTCACTTGACAGGTCACTGAAACAACAAATTAATTTTGTTTTGTTAACAGCATAATATTAGTCAGGGGGGCAGAAAACTAGGAGAATCCAAAGCAGGAAGATATATGAGGAGATATGCGATATACTCACTCAAAGATGAACTCTTCAGTGAAGACGGGGTTCTGCCCGTCCCGAGGGTGCGTCTTTGCCACCTGGACGCTGTTCAGGTGGATGTTACAGTAAGGGCTGTTGAAATACTTCACCGGCAGCTTGTGGGCCTCCTCCACATACAGCACTAGGCTGCTCACCTGTCAGGACATTAGGGAATTAGCACAGAAAAAAATACAATAATAACAACAAACTTTTTACTCAATATAGCACTTTTCTAGTAACAATGTTACAAAGTGTCTAACAAAGAATAAATGAGCAGGGATAGGTTGAAAACAATTAACATTTTATTTTCTGGTTATGTTTTGAGATATGATATCAGACACATATATCATGATAAATATATCCCTCACATATTTTATTGAGAAATACTAATAGTTAATCATTTGTTTAACAAGCCCAATATGGAAGATACCAAGTGAAAATAGGCCTTTAAAAGTAAAACAAAAGGAATGTAACCGAGAGCAAGGCTCATCTAAAATTAAAAATGTGGGATGGCCTGGTTTAAAGGCTTTAAAACAAATTATTTGAATCAAGACAAGTTTAGGAATTATGTAATTATGCTGTAGCACCACCAACACACACATACACACACACAGCACTCATTCAAGCACACAACAAACGACAGGTACACAGATGTGCACCAGATGAGTTCAGCCTGCTGAGGACTGTAAATGTTTGGATGGTCCACTAACCCATTGATTTCTCTCTATGCTGCAGATGACTGCTCTGACTATGACAGACAGGCCCATTGTCAGAGATAATGTGCTCTCTTCAATGAAGCCATGACACAAAACACTAACCGTAGAGATCTTTAGTTATTAAGAGAGGTGCACATTTTTTCGGTTCATTGTGAAACTGTGGTGGAACAAATTAGACGAGGCGGGCTGCGGTGAATTTAATTAATGGGGAACACTGAATCCTGTGGCCGTCTGTCACAGTCATGCTCAGGTTTATCAACTTTGAACTTTAAGTTCTGACACCTGAGAGATAAGATTGTGTTGTTTGAATGTGTCTATCTACTACTTTTCCTACATGAACACACACTGATACATACCTGTCTGAGCCTCTTATTGGAGGTGGGCTGAGTGGTTTTCCTTAGGTTACTGCATAAATTTTTAAGGCATTTCATCCAATCCTTTAAAAAAAAGAAAATGTTTAATAGAATTTATTAGACAGTAGACATGGGCTGTCTTTGGAAGAATGCACTGTAAACTGTTGAAACAAGCAGTTTTAACTTTTTTGTGTTGACTCTGCTCTTACCTGTGCCTGCTCTGGAACCTCTCCTGCAAAGTAGAATATGTACTGTTCCTCACTAAAGTGCTGAACAACAATCTGGAAACAGTTTGGCCTGAAAAATCAAACAGAAGAGGACATTTAAAATTCATTTGTAGCATATGATACCTCAATAAAACTAGTTTCTTCACGTGGTGTCCATGCATGCAACTGAGCATTCAGTCCTGAGGGACAGAACTTCAGAAATGCAAGAACAATATTTTGGTGTCTCACCTGCCAAACAGACTGTCATGCACACCATACACAGAGCACACACTTAGGTCGATCAGCCCTTTTGGTTTGGTGGCTCTCTTCTCGCTCTCAAAGTAGATGAGCTGGGCGTCGTTACCTTCCAGGATAAAGTAAAGATTCTTCCACCGTTTGCCTTTACCTGAGGGCCAGATGCACATTGAGAAAGTTTATTGTAATGGTGGATCCTGAGTGACCTGACCCTGAGAAAACACTAAGATCATGTTATTGATGTTACAGGGAGCTACTGAAATGTGTGATTTAAAGGCAGAAGTTACACAAACCTTTGTTGAACAAGAGGTAGCCTTTCTTGACAATGTTTTTGTAGAAAGCATCTTTTGTTTTCCGTCTGATAGTGTTATAAATTTCTCTCCCATCCACCATGTCAGTAAGAACTTGTTCCTGGTGCTACAGTAAAGAAATAAAAAACAATTTAAACCATCATATACTCAGAAAGGCAATTCAATTCCATACAAAAGTAGACATGGTTAATATTATAATAATATATTATTTACAAAAACAATCTGTTGCTTCAGAGGGATTTTTGAAAGTCGCAATATTTTCTCTCTCAGTAGCTGCGTCTTTTCTTTTTTGTCGAAGCTGTGCAGACAACAATAATTGTATATTTTGTATGCTAATTTTGGTATATGAAATTTGACCAATCCAGTGTTATCAAAACCATTAAATTATCAAATAGCATCCCATTTAGCCAAATATATAGAATCAAACATGCTTAACAATGGCACAATTCAACTAAACATACCTGCACAGAAGCTGGTTCTTTCAAATTGTAGCCCTCAACAATTTGTTCCTTCTTGTAATGGTCGATGATGTCATCAACACTGAGAGAGAGAGAAAGAGAGATGCGGCACGTCAGTAACTGCAAATCAAAATACACAACACATGCTGACTAAAATGTTTACAATTATGTTATTCTGTTATATGAAAACCTGAAGGCCATTGCCACACATACCTGTTGTAGTACCTCCCCCCCATCATGTACTGATTGTTGGGGGTGGGGGAGATCTTAAACCTTTGGATGTTTTCATTAGTGCGGAAAAAGAGCGAGTAGTCCCCAGGTGTGTTGTCTGATGGCCGGACAAGAAAACTGCACACCTGGCCAACTGTGAAAGGAGAGGCAGCGGAGGAATCGACAGAGGGACAAGAGAAAGGTTTTAACGCCAGCTCAGCAGAATATTGTGATGAATGGACTTCAATGTCCGAATGACGATGTCAAAAGTGATTAATAACTGTGGCCTAATGAAAGGTGAAGAGGGATGGTACCTGTCATCAGCAGGTTGTAGGCCTCTTGCTTGGTGATCTTTCCATGATACCAGCTGTAAGAGAAGAGCGACAGACCACTGAATTAACTAAAATCAACAAAATACAGATGTTCAGTTATGCCGACTATAACAACAACATCTCTCGTCACTGACATCTTTAATAAATGGTATCTCTGTTGAGGATATTCAGAGTAAACTGTTTATCCAGCAACATGAATCACTTCTGTGTAAAAATATATATTATAGAGCCCTTTCATGTTCAATGTAATGTTCCAAAGAAAATAAATGGCCATAATTTAATCAAATTCTTCCGAGAGAGGGCCCTTCGCATTTGGCATGCTCACTTTTTATTTATCTATTTGGCAAGTCAAATTTGAAGAATTGCCAATGCTGAAGGACACAAGTGAGGAGAAAATAAGGACTCATGTGTTGACATGCTGTTCAGCCTGTTAAACTAAAAATAAAAACATTATTTATGTCTTGGCTGACAGGCTTGATATTATCCTGTACTGAAATAATGTGTAAAAGCATAAAGGATGCAACCACTTTCACAAAATAATGCAAGTTATCAGTCTCTGCACCGAAGAGAATGTACACCTAGGTTTGAAGATTGCCCACAGATCAGTGATCGGATGTTAAAAAAGTGAGTTGAGATTGAACAACTTACACTTTTCCCTCATGTGGATCCTCCTCCCGCCCCTGAAAAATATCAGAAACAGGAATCTGTTAGGACACCAACTGAAATGGATCAATAACTGTAGTTGTTCTGTAATTTACATACTGTAATGATTTATATTGATGAATTAAATCATAACACTTGCAGCTATACCAATTCTTCTTTGGTATGATATACTGTTGTCACCTCAGACTGGGTTCTTTAATCCACACTACACCGAATTCACAGATGCTCTGTCAATTATGTCCTTATCAAAAATAGTTTTCTTTGATCGTTTCCTAAACATTCTCTACAACCTGATGTAGACTTCCTATCTAGCGCTGCACTTACCACCTCCTCCACCAGATCCTCCACGATAAGGCCCTGCTCCTCTGTGCGAACGTTGGTCACCCACATCCAGCCATCATCCAGCTCATTGTGAACGATAAACATGTCACCTTTTAGGAAGCTGAGAATACAATGAGTCAAAGTGGACATTAGAAGAGTGAACACTACAAATTTTGATAAACTGTCAAAAAAGGCAAACTTAAAATGCAGCAAAAGGCACTGTGGCCTGCAACACATTTTGTTATAATTTATCTCAAACTGTTGCTCCCTCAGGGCAATGTGAGCTTTATGATGTCAAGGAAATTCAGGATCAGCACATCTATAACAATATAACTACATTTTCCAACTCGGGAAAATGTCAAGTGTCTTTTTATTTTAAACTGGTTGTAATATCACAGCTCTGCCATCAGGTGTCCTCATTGAACCACAACATTTGAGGTAAATGTTGCATGTCTATCAACTCCGTTAAGCCTGTGACCCGCTAGCAAACTCTGGGTTGAGGTTGACTTTAGACAGATGTTTATCAGATTCTGGAAATCAGGGATAGCTTGGATCATCAGAGTGTGTGCCCACTGCAGCTTAATAACAGGGATAAGACTGTTTTTCATTGACAAGTCTGATGATGTACTTTCCAGGCTGCTGTGATAGGAAGAGTAGGCCTTAGACATGCAACCCCCCCCCCCAAAAAAAAATCAGGCAAACTAGGAATAACCATACTGTCAAAATACTACATTTTAAAGCCCAGAACATCCTCAGTGATTGTCTCTGTCTCAAACATTATGGGTCATATGAATCAGAACACTTTTAGGAAAGCAGCTGGTTTGATATAAAAATGTAATACCGTCTGTATAAGTGGGGAACATTCTCTCTACGACACTCACCTGATCTCATCAGTATCTGGCACTTTGGTGTATGGAAGTATGGCCCTGACTCTCCTCCTGTCCTCTACAGGCTGTAAAAACAAAAAAGAATAAAAACCTCATTCTTAGTCTTGATATTTCATAACTAAACAAAAAAATATATTTTCCAACCCATCTATTAACTCTCAAACATTTCATCAGGTTAAGTACTTTTACTGAAATTTGAAGAGATTAGTCTCAATTTTGCAAACCTTTATTGTTGATTGTGTTTTTTTTTTTCATGGATAGGTATATTTTAAAATGTCTGAACTCTGTTTTGCTGGATATTTGCATCTTTCCTATGATATTTTGACGAATAGCATTAACATGCTGCTATATGATATAGTTTTTTTTATTTCTGATTTTTTTTAAAAACTCAGCGCTGTCACTCTCACCACCAAAGAAAACAAAAAGCTGCATTTTACAATATTTATTTTGAGAAACAACTACGAGGAGAAGGAGAAAAGTAAATATCAAGTAATGTCATGACACACAAACGATAGAAAGAGCAGTCTCACCTCTGGGGGTGCCACTGGAGAAAGCAATTTCTCTCCTTTTAGCAAGCAAGACACATAGCTGTAATAACCAATCAGGTCCGATAGAGAAGAGAAACGCCGCCCACCAATGTAATAGTCCCCACACATTGCGATTATCCTGTTGAGAGAAAACATAACAATGATTAAAGACAGCATGGTTATTTTTAACATATAGGCTAATCACTGTGCACTGAAGGCAACAGAGAATGTTCAACATTTATTCCTGTGACAGTGGGAGACTGTGTCAACATTGTTTTTCATTAGTGGGCTTACACCACAGATGAAACAGATCTTGTAATAACCAAGACAAAATAAGAATTCAAAATAGTGAATATGTCTCTAAAACACTGGTTTGAACCATATCCCACTGCAGAGCGACTAATCCTAATTAACTGCTCGTCACTTGAGCTGATCTTTGATTGTGGGATTATAACAAAACACACTATAATATTGCTTATTTGCTGCAAGCCCCATCTAACGACATTGACCTTTTGAAGTGCGGGTGTCATGCAATTAGCTTTATGTTCATAATTCACTTACAACCCTCACCCCCTCAGCATCAATGTCATCATGTTCCCACACCAAACCACTATGACTGAAGGACATGATGTCATTGTCCCTTGATTAATAAGATTCCTGGAAAACACCTCTGCGTCCCCCCAGTAGAGCAGTAGAAAGTAATGCTATTAAATGCACAGATTCCACATAAGTTAAAGGTTATATACACGATATCCACTGCCACTCAATGTCGCGCTAGCATCTTAGACCAAAACATGTGCTTTGTATGCCACAACTCTCTCCTCCCTTAGTGTTGTCATCAAAGTGTTGTCTGTACAATTTGTGGATGTTGTGAAGCCCAGTGGCCCCTAAACACACAACCTGAGGCACAAGTGAATAAAGATACCATGTGTACAAAGACATCAAAACAATCCAGATAGATACTGTGCATACTGATAAAATACATCAGCCATAATCACAGATTGGAGCTCCTGTCAGTATCTGAGCCTCCATGAGACACTATGAGGATTAATGTGTGTTTTTTGAAACACACATGAGCAGAGTGAGAGAAGCCCTGAGCACTGCACATTTTCAGAAGGCTTGCATGTTGCTGTTAGACTGTATTGAAAATAAGATGTGGCATTGATGTTTCTGGTTTAAACGCACCACCGTAGGCAGGTGACAAGTTTTTGTGTGACATCACAGAGCAGACAACCACACTTCTGGTCTGAGCTAGGGCCATCTCCCTTCAAAAACTTAGGGAAGGATATTTAAGTATCATGGAGGGACTGAACCAAAACAAAACACAGAAGCTTAGATCCCATCAAACGTAGACTTCATTATCTGCTCAGGATGCCATTACATCTAAATATTACTGTTTCTAAAATAAAAGTTTAAGAAAGAGAAAAACCTGATAAAAACAAAGACTGTAAGCAAAGTAAGTAAAATGGTCTGGACAGATAAAGCACTGACTTTCATCACATGCTCATCTAATGTCTTTCGGCACTTAAATTTAGCAATAAATACACAGCTGTTGAAACTTGTTGCTACCTGTAACAACAAAATGTTCTCAGAAATCTGCTGATTGATCTTTTAAACAAAACATACTTTCACTTTATCATAACCATAAAACCCCTTTTTTGACTCATGTAAAAGTACACACTTTTTTTTATTAAGGGCAAATGTTCACCTTTTGTGTGTGAGCTGCAGGATACGTGTGCCTTAATAGTGAATATGACGAATCAACATTTGAGGGGAGGACAGATTGTAATGTCTGATCTGTCTTGTTTATTGAAAGTTATGTTATAAATTGCCCTATGGTATTACTGCTAGACAAGTGCACTTCCCCTTTTCTTTTAACTCAAGTCCACCTACTCGCATTGCATGAAAGATAAGTCTTCTCCGACCCACCCACACACCCACACACCCACCCACCCACACACACCCACACACACACACCCACACACACACCCACACACACACACACACACACACACACACACACACACACACACACACACACAATCAGCACATGTCATGTTTTCATGTTTGTGACTGTCTGTCCTTTTGATTAGCAGCTAATGAATAACTTCTGGAGTTCCCCTCTCTTTATCTTGTAACTAAAGGTGGCATGCTGCCTGCTTGTTGTCAGATAATGTCAAATGTTCTGTTTCACCTACTAACAGGACTCTACAGAGAACAGAAAAACAGTTCATGTCACATCAAACTATTATCACTATTCCCTTAACAAAGCTCCTCAGGTGTAGGCTGTTATTAATACCATGGTAGACAGGTTAGCCAACTCTACATAGCTTCTGTAATTGATACAGTGAACACAAATGAGTCTACAAGGACCCCATATTTTGGTTTCCAGGAAAATAATAGCATCAGCGGATAAAAAAGTAACTAACTGGACAACAAATGTGTCAGCACATGTCGGCCCAGTCACATTTTTTTTCAGGAAATCCTCTGAAAATAGCTAATTGAAACATGCATTTCAACAGGCTCTTGATGCATCTTCAGAATGGATCAATTGACGAGATTGACGGATTTCTGCTTCTTGTTTGTACTCCGTCATACCTGAAGTGGTTGACCACGTTGGTCATGCTGAGGAAAGACAGGACAAAGGAACCGGGCCGGCGGTCACTCTCCCTGATGAGGTAGCTGCCAGGGGTCCGGGCCTGGCGCAGCCGCTCCTCAGCAATGGTTCGGTCCAGCTTGCCATGGTACCACCTGAGATGAAGAGAAAAGGATGAAACAATTAGGAGGTGGATGGTGCGTTAAGACACAAACTATGTATAGCTGGGAAGCATTTAACACAAGCGAACCTATATCAATATATATGTATAATTGAAAGGAACCCCTTCTAAAGTTATGAGCCTATTCAAGAGGGAAGTGCACATTGCTGTTGAGAAGAAAATCAACCATTACTGCTTGATAGGTTGAATTAATGTGAATTAGTGCCTGGCAAAATATGGCTGAAATGTTATATAATTTCAGTATGGTATATTGATTTGGTTCATCACAACAAAAAAAGAGACCACAAGAGTGGTTGCAATACAACTAGCAACCTCCTGAGGTAAATATAATGGGAGAAAGTTATGGTTTGTTGTAAGACACTTGTTGACTTGTTTTTAATTCAAGAATTGAAAACATAGTACTCTGACTTTCCACAGAAATTGCAATAACATTCTTTCACATTCTTTTCTTTTTCAGATCACTTCTTGACTTGTAAAGAGATGTAAGTAAATGAATGTAATGTATGTTAAGTATTAATAGACCGATAACAAAATCAGCATTAAACAGTGAAGCTATATGAAATTTCATGACCTACTTTCATGAGTGTATGACCCAGACAAGATGAGTAGGTCATGCATTTTTCAGACAAATGGACGGAGAAAGGCGAGTAAAAGCTTAAATTGAGAAGCTTTTATTTTTGAGTTTCCTGTGCACCATTAAAGTCTTACTTCTTTCTGAATTAAACAGAAGCCTGAGCAACAACACTGGTTAAAATTTCAGCAGGTGAGGCTGGATTTGACAGGGCTTTCACTAGCTGGGGTAAAAAATTAACACTGTTTTCCATATTTAGGCCAGTGATGCCTCTCAGAATGCAGTGACTGGAAAAACATCCAGCGGTGAAAAGACGAATGAGGTCCTGCAACAACTCTTTTCACAGGAGATCTAAAAGGGCTCCCATCTGGTTTAGGTGAGTCGAGGTTTATATTTGTAAAGAAAACATGATCACGTCTGTTATCACAGAGAAAGCTGCAAAGGGCTTGCTGAAGCAAAGAGAGGGAGTTAAGATTCTGTGAGGGGGCTTTGGGCGGATTTGGGTGATAAGAGATTTGAAAAGAGTGATGGAGAGCAGTCAGAGAGTGAGGCCAAGCAGCCCTTAAGGGGCTGAGGAAGCTGGGGAAAGTAATCCTGAAGGAGAACCATCAAAACACGAGGAACGATGACTGCTAAGAGAAGAGTGGCGGAGAGCAGAGCAGACCATCCTACATCATTTCAAATTCATGTGTCATTTCAAATTCATTTAAACTTAATTTGTAAAAAGACTGACAGCCCTAATTACACTCTCTATATAATGACATTAAAAGACAATTAAGAAGACATTTTGGATATAAATGTCTACTGCAAGTAATCCAGAACCAGGTCAAAGACCAGAGAACTTCAGACTGAATTATACACCGAAGAATTGTTCAACAGAATTTGTTCAAACTGTCACTCTACAACATGGAGGAAGAAAAACCCTGCAAGAGCCGGTTAGTGTTACCATGGCTTTAAGCTTTGCTAAACAACTAAACAGACAGAGAAGCCTATGTCAGACACAACACAGCAAGGATCACAGAAAGAAGATGATTGAAAGAAAGCTGCTGATCTACTGGCACAAAGTTTTAGAGGAATGAGAGCTTTATTCGACTGGCGCAACAAGTCCTTAGAACATCATTAAATATTCAAAAGTTAAGAATTTTGACTTTAGGGTTAACCTGTGTCTGTGTGTGTGTGTGTGTGTGCGTGTGTGCATGTGTGCTCATTTTGTCACTTTTCACACTTTTATTTAGTTATCAATAGATGGTGTCAAATCATAAATTGCATGATTGAAACCCAGATGTCCTGGCTGTGCGTGTCACATCTCATCTCTTGTTGCGTGTAGCAGGTGAACTGCCTACACACAAAACTTATTTTTCAATATTTTTAAATATGTGTCTCGTAAACTCTATAGCGAATTACAAACACAAAGCAAACTTAAGTACTGTACGTGTCCCAATAACAATAAACACCAACACTAATCAGAAGTTAACATGTTAAGTGAGCGTAGATCAGCAGGGGCATAAGGAGAGAGGACATATGCCAGGGTAATACGGCAAAGTACAATTCCAAGGGCTGCAGCTGCAAAATGAACATAGCGGAAATCTGACAGTTTGTGAATGCACACAAACTGGGGGGAAGCATTACCCAAATTAACTGAAATGAGCAAGAGGTTATAAATGTCGGTTTCGATACATTTCCAGTGCCCTTCTGACTTAATTGAGCCTGTTTACATCACCAGCCATAATAGTGCCTCTTGAACCCATAGCAGCAATGATGAGTGTACTGGTCACAACCTGTTACACACACCGAGTGACCTGAGCCTCCCCATGAAGTACAGTCTGCTCAGTCTCCTATTATAGAGGGCATCACATTAACCTGACCAGGCAAGTTTGTTGTGAAGGTGCACACCAAGGAACTTGTGTGACCTTAATGCACCCACTTCCTCACCCTGTGTGGTGATAGGTGTATGTTGCATCTTACAAGATCTAAAGTCCACAACCACTAAGGGCAGCATGTCCTCCCTCCTCACTCCCCCCGCTGACCTGCGCTCACCTTACACGTTAACAAAAAACACCAACACTAATCAGAAGTCATTAGTATAGAATTATCATGTATCATTAAAAAGTAATGTCAGTGTTGTGTTTAATTGCAGCTTCGTCCATTCACAGTCTTATTTTGCCCTGACATACTGGAACTCCTCACCTGCTGTGTTCACACATCGACAGATAGGTGGATAAAGTCTGCGAAGGAACTGGGGAGTTCAGTGCATGTCTGAATGCAGCTATATGACCACAACATGTATGTATTGAAAACGCTGCAGTTAATAACATATCTGTATATACAAATATAAATGTGCAAATAACAAATGTATGTTTTTTTGATTACATTCATATGTTATTTTGCACTTCCAGTGTCACACAACAGTTGCATCAGACAGGTTGTTATGGCTGTTTGTAAAGCCTACAGATAAAGTCCGGAGATTGGGTCTAGACTTTATCTGTAGTTTGCCCACACATGCAGAACGCAGTGGGAAGTTCTCTGCATAGACATGTTCACAACAGCAACAAATCCTCAGCATTATTCAGGTGAGGGATGGTGCAGCAGGCAGAGGCAGGAAGTAACGTTTTTCATGTTTGCATCTACCATGTGTTAGAAGCGTCATCATCCCCCCCTACTTGCTTATGGTAAATCCAGCGAAGGATCCCCTGCTGTGTTCTCACATTGGATTCTGCTGACTTTCTGCTGACTTTACTAGGGGGCCAGGCGGAGAAAGTCTGCAGATAATCCAGAGGCTCTCACTCTGACATTTGTGTTCACACATGCACCTCCTCTGTAGAAAGTGCGGAGATGCTCCGGAGTTTGATGCATGTCTGACAGCAGCTTAAGAGAATGAACAAGGCTGGAAATATTTGTTGTAAATAGCAATTGGATTCATTGATCACAACCAAATGTTGGATTTGAGTGTGATCGAGGCTGTTCGACTGCAGTTTAAGTTACTGTTAATCTTTAAAAAAAACATCTTATGCCTGTGGTATTCCTGACTTACTTCATGGCCTTGCACTATAATTTTGTGTTTCCATAGCAACTTTGGCCATATGGATTTGTTGTAGTATAGTGCCCTGTGATTTGATTTACACCAAAACTTTCTATAGATTTGAGGGAAAAAGTATTATTCCGTACTTTTATTTCACTGCCCATAATGGAATGTGATTGGGTCAACCAGACTGAAAAGGTGCTCTGATAAACAGACTGTGAACTTAAACCATGACAGTAACGACAGGATACAGTTCTACTTTCAGCTTGAGGAATGTCCAATCATGTCAGTACATGAACAGCGAGCAGCACACTGACGTCTTGCTTCTCTCATCTCAATATAAGGCATTTCTTCCTCTGCCTACAGTTCCAAGATCAACTAAAACAAGCTGACTCATAGAAACTGTTATAAATGAACAATCCTCACTCACAAAGCTGATCACTATACTAACTACCAAGTCACAACTACCTGTTTGTGGCACCACACAACAACCACAGTGTCATCCTTCCACAAGCCCAATGTCCACATCCTGAGTTTCATTTTCACACAAGTCACCCATTTATTCACTTCATCATGAGACAAAGGGCGAATACAATCCTTTCTCGCACTCAACTCATGATTTGAGGCATTTTAGACAGCGCCTGAAGCCAGCCATACCAGCACAAGCACGTTGAATACTCGAGGCAGGAGGAATTAGGCAACAAACTATAAATAGCTAAAGAAAATGACAGACAATAACATTGAAAGATTAATCTCAGTTTTTCAATAATTTCTATAAAAGCTGTATGGGAAATTATGGATTTTCAAAATCTGCAGGGTCAAACGTATCATCCCAAAGTGGATAAAATATAAAATATATTACAGTTGCAACAAGCTACTATTTGAAAAGGACTGTCTTTGAAACATTGTGCTCAAAATGAGGACACTACATATTCCACTGACCTAAATCATTTAAGAATATGCATTTTTACAGGAAATGAAACCCTGACTATTTTTGGCAGGACTTAACCATTTAATAAGCCTCACTTAAGGGGCTGCTGAAACACTCATATCATCCATTCTTCAAAGTGATTTCAGGTAGGCAAAGATTCTACACTTGTATCTGTGCTTTAATGTTATCATATCCGAGACAAATCTGACAAACAGCTTGCTGTGACGTCTGTCAGTCTGTCTATCTCTCATTAAGCTCTTTTGTGATGTCTCTCTCTCTCTCTCTCCAGCTCATGTCTCTCTTCTTCATTTTCTTTTGTCTTGATGGATGTTGCTGTGCTCATGCATCTCCCCAGATGTACTGTCAGCCCACATCAGTATCAAGAAGTAATGAAACGTTGCCTTACCGTGCATTAGCAATGCGCCTCAGTCGCGCTGCCAACTTTCTATAAGG